CTAAATGGCTCGCCCGACCCGAATGGGTCCGCACCGTCATCAAACGACGGGAAGCCATGACCGTAGTCAGAGTCCCTCGTGCTACGCATGGAGTCGAACCTAGAAAATGAGTCACGAGGGGGAAAGAGACCAGAGTTATAATCTGAGTCGGCCGTGCTGCGAAACGAGTCAAACCTCGTGAGCGACTCTTGTTGACCAAAGTACCCCTGGTCAAAGTCCACGGACTCCCTCGTGCTCTGCATGGAATCGAATCTTGATAACTCGCGAGAGCTAAACGGGCCACTGTCATGGATGTTGAACGAATCAAATCTCGAAAAACTGTCCAATGAGTACCGATCCTCCGAACCTTCACCGAACTTTCTAGGCGAGGTGTTGGAACTGTACATTGGTGTACTTGGGACAGAATCTGCAAATGGACTATTATTCCTCATGAACAGGCTATCCACGTGGAGGGAACTAGAGAAATTGTACTGTGGGGTACTCGGGACAGAATCGAAAAATGGGCCCTGCTTTGGGGTGCTCGGGACAGAATCGAAAAAGGGGCCCTGCTTTGGGCTGCTGGGGACAGAATCGAAAAACGGACCCTGCTTTGGGGTGCTGGGAACAGAATCGAAAAATGGGCCCTGCTTAGTGGTTTTGGACCCAGTTCTAATCGGATTCAGACCCCATTCTTCTGGACCAAATAAAGAACCCTCACTATGGTCATGCGCGGCTCCCTGATGTAGGAAAGTGATGCAATTGTTAATCGATCGGGATTACAATTGAGAGAAATAATGGAAGAACTACTTATGGTATTATGAAAATGCATAATTGGAAAAATTGCTGAAATCACAAAATCTTCATGTACCTTTAAGTCGATAGGATTGATATCCCATGCTGAAACTGTGTCATAACTACTATTATCAAAAGAACCCCAGCCCGGTTCATCAAACCGTTTTTCCCCAGATCGTATAGATTCGGACCCCAAGTCACTGCATTCGAAATCGGCTTGCTTTAGAAATTTCCATAGAGAAAAGGAAAATACAACGTAAATGGATGGGATAAGGACAGTTAACCTTAACTGATCAAAAGGCAAAAAGTGCTGTTAAATAAGGAACTAACAAAGAAAATGGCAATTACCTTTGGGTGTCAAATGCACGTGGCGAGCCATTTACGTTAACATCTCTTGTTCGACGATCATGGATCTCCTTGGTTGGACTAACAGCTGTTTTGCTTCCTGAAGGACTGTCAGGCGAACTTTTTGCAGTTTGTTCCGGGTTGTGAGTTTTTAGACTCTCGTTCTCATGTGCTCTTTCGCCTGAAATTGGCGGTTCTGAATTGTCATCGGTCCTAGAAGGTGATTTTGCGATATCCTTTTTCTCTAACGAATGAATCTGCTCTCTAATTAAGGCAGACTTTGGTTTAGGAGGAGCGAGAACATTTTCCACTTCAAGAGTAAGCTCCTTGACATAAGTGAATCCTGATTGTGGACAGCACAAAAAGTCAATTAGTTATTACTAAATGGAAGTGAGATTAAAATCACTAGTAATTTCAGTACCTTCATCTTCAAACTTATCCCAATCTTCATTCCAATCAGCTGCTGCTGCTTCGATGCCAGGTTGCCACCCTGGATAGCAATTTCAACAGCATATTGAGCATTGAAAGAAAATCTACAAAGATATCCCCATTAAGCATGAAGAAGCCAATCGAGTTTTTCATTCAAATCAGCAAGTTGGTAGTGTGAAGTTTGTTGTAATTAAGCTTCATAATTCCTGGCAAAGATAGTCATTTTTGTGCCTTCAAGCTTGTGGTTTCACCAGATCTCCGTGTGCATGAGAAGTGTTAGAAAGTGTAACCAGATGAAATGCTGTTTACCTACTTGAATTGTGTGAAAAATGGAACTAGAAATTGATACGGTGACAGCTTACAAATCATTATCTCAAAGCATATGCTGATCGATGATAGTAAATGAATATATATGCTAAAAACTTGTTCTCACATTTCCTCCTAAAGAACTCAGTATTCTTTAAAATCACATTTATTAACAAAAGTATGAAAATGTACCAAATGGAAGCTCGACGAGTGACGTTGGTTTTCCGCGTAATCCATAAAGTTTGCACCGTTCATTCAAAGCTTTAACAAGTTCCTCAAGTTCTGACTGAATTTGATTAATTCGATCCTGATAGACAACAAGAATGTAATCAGAATATCTCCCATGACTTCTTCCGACTATTCAAAGAACATTACCTGAGTACCAGGCGCATCATCTTGGTCCAATTTGATGATCGCTCGATAAAGTTCCATTTTTTTCTCCTACAAAACAAAAAATTAAATACACAAAAAAAAAAAAAATTAAATAAATAACACAGGCATACAAATCCAGTAAATAAATATGCAATCAAAATTATGATGATTCCACCAAGTAACATACAGTATAATGATGATACCTGAATATCACGGAATGTGGCCTCTTCGATTGTTAATTTTGATGCTACATCGCCAGCCTGCTTGTACTTCTCTTCATACTTATTTGCTAAAGATTCAGCCTGAATTAACAAATTTCAAGTCAATAATCAAACATATAGCACTTCTGCCAGATAGGTCCATGTTAATTGGTACCTCTCTTTTGTCAGCTACAACTCTTTCAGAGATCTCATTCAGACGATTGTCACATCGACTTTTGTATAGAATCTAGAATCAAAACACAGCATAAGGTGGGTATATGAAAGTGAGGTAGTGAACAATCAACATTTTTTCCAATGAGCAAAAAATGAAAGTGAACCTGAACAAGGTCATTTTTTAAGATGATTAAAAAAAAGTGGATGGGTATAAGCACAATGTACATATGTTTTCAATTGTATGTGCAACTTCATGTTTATACTCTAGAGAATGCATATAAAGACCACATTAAGTTTTTACTATTACACCAACATTGACATTTGGATTTTAAATGAACAATAAACTCACAAGTTCTTGCATCTTGGCATGAAAGAATTGAACTTTTTGTTTGGCTTCCGAAATGTCCTTTTCCAGATCTGCCACCTGCATAAAAAAATAAAAAATATAAAAAAAATAAAAAAAATAAAAAAAAATAAAAAGTTGAGCATATAAACATAATAAGATAAATGGTCCAGCAAAAAGGAGCAACGACACAATCCACATTCGATTTCCCTCCAGTATCTACCAGGCAGGCGTAAATGCTAGAACAAGTGATGTCTGCTGCTCACATACATCTAATTCTTGAGGGAAGAGCATAACACTAACCATTAGCTCACCTTAACAGCTACAAGTACAGATACGAGAAATGCAATTAGAGGAAAAAGCAGGTCAAAATCTGTCTAAAATAATTAGTAAGAGCACACTCTACAGTTTATATTAGGCACTACAAGTCTTTACAACAAACCCCATGTATTACATTCTGTTGAGCAGAAAAACATAACCTAACAAACACCATTAAAAGATAGTATGTCTACCATCTGAGTACCAATATAACAATCCTTCTCAGAAAAAAATGAAGTAAACAAATACCCAAATTAAATCACGCAAATAAGATGGCCAAATCTTCGACTGTTACTATGTTTCCCTTTCACCTAAATTGCCTTCTGAACTTACAAACTCAAAATGCCAGGCACTATTCCCTTCTGATTTCAACTAATGCTTAGTTCATTACTCTTTAGAAGAGCATACATATGTCCAAGAAACATGCCAATCATAACTGGTCATGACAGATTAATTCTCATCACGTCAATTTTAAGTTCTGAATTTTAGTTCTGGGTAACAAACAGTTATTAGAATTGCCATATAAGAATTTAAATTATATATGATAATAGCCCTAACAACTTAGAAAGCAATAATGAGCATAACATCATTAGCAAGTATGCAAATTTTGGATATAAGTTTCATCAAAATCACCTAAATGTTTATATGACAAATGAAATGTATCCAAGAAGCTGGACCGTTAATCTCTCGCATGAAACACCAATATCATTGTAGAGGCTTTTCTAGTTAGTTTAAAGCTAAAAATGGCTCAATTAAATTCTAATGCTTCTTCTATTAGTGAAGTTTCTAGAAAAAAATATATCAAACGACGCAACGCACCTTGGGTTGCTACGGAAACAGCCTCCTTGTATAATTACAAGGGTAAGGTCTGCGTACAACTGACCCCTCAGACCCAACCAGTTAGGAATATACTGGGTATGTTGTTGTTGTTGTTATAATTCAGGCAACAGAAAAAGAAAAAACTGGAAAGGAGGATGCTGGACACCAAGAGGTAGAGGTGTACGCCACCAAAATATATATATCGTCTCAGGTAGCAGGAGGCAATTTCCTATAAGACTCCCACAACTCATTCCTCAAGCACACCTCTAATAAAACTGAAAACCTACGATACGGTCGAACATGTGATCATTAGAAGTAAGAATATAACTGATATTGTGTATGGTTGAACCCTTGACCCAGGTACTTCACTAGGCTATGAATCACCCACTTTGATGAGTTGTGATCCCAAGGAGATGAGCAGAGTATACTCACAGATGGAAGAAATGAATTGGCTTGTACTATTTGATATCAAAAGAACTTGCATAGACATTGTGTTTTAACTCTAGATTAAACAGTGAATTGTCAATGGAATGAGAACAATGTAATCAGAGACAACATATATTAGTAATTGGAATTTAGGCAAGAAAATAGAAGGATAGAGAAAGAGATTAAAGAAGACAGAATTTAGAGAAGAAAACATTAATTTATTAATAAATATTAGTCGTTTCCTTCACAACAAAGCCAATTTATAGAGTGAGCTGCTTAGCAATTCAAAGAGAAAATAAAATCATCAAACCAGGGAACTCATCTAACCACTGACAAGAAAGTCATTCTTTTCACATCAATCAAGATAAAATCTTTCCTGATTTCTTATACGGCTGCACCTAAGAAGGTCCATGTATTTCTACCAATCAATCAAGATAATAAAATCTAACTAATTTATTTATATGAGAAAGCCCTAAAAGGAGTTTTCCATCTGTGCCCGTTTTGTCCTTATCAATCTTCCCGTGGAAAAAAGAAATCAGTTCCAACAAGTTATGTTTGAAATTAAACTCTAAGAATAGCAGGACTATTTGGAAGGATTATAGGTGTGTTTAGGAAACAGCAACAGCATGTAAATGATTTCGGTGTTTGGCCGCTACTTAGGATTTGAAGAAGTTATTTAGAACCCTACTCATAACAGAAAAATTAGAAAAAGGAAAACAGAAAACCTCATCAACCAATCGGAAATTACCTATCACCTCTCAGAAAGCAACGCTAGGCGGCCTACGCAATACACAGTCATTTGATTGCTCAGGAAACAATCATCCAGCAAGGTGACGAACTATCACCCCTCGCCTATGTGTCATAAGGAACACTCTTAACAAGCTTTACAAGTTTCAAACAACTACAGTACCATATAAGAATAATGCATCTACATCTATTCTCCTAAAGGACCTAAATGAATCCAATTTAAAGACAACTCCATGGCCAAATAAAATATCAATAGCCATAACAAGATCAGACAACTGAAGGTGAAAGAGAAGAGAAGAGAAAGCAGCAAGCATCCTAATAAACAAATCACCTTTTTCTCTGCGTCCTTTGCCTCCTCAAACTTTTTGTTCAGTGAATCTTGCTCCTCTGTGCTAAGCTGATCTAGAAGATGCTTCTCCAGGACTGGAACTTTAGCCTTTTGTTGGATGGGCTCGTCAGGCTGGGGAACAGGACGAGGTGGCTTTCCAACACCAGCAGAAGTGATAGAACGTGCATTTTTAGCCACTGGGGGCTGTTGGAAACCTAATAAAAGATGGGCAGAATGAGGATATGGAACTAAGATTACAATAACATACAAATTGAAATACTACAATCAAACCAGGGGAAGGTCTCCAAGATGCATTGCCATAGGCAGCAGCAGGTTGACCAGAGCTCGGCAACAAGGTTTGATCAAATAAAATAGAACTGGGAAGTGTCGCTGGAAGGGAGCGTCCTTCCCTGTATCGCTCCATCAAGTAGAGAGCAACGCAGAATTCATTCAAAGAAAGCATACTGTCATTGTCTTGATCCGATAAGTCCCAGACCTGCTTCAGGACCTCTAGTAAAACAAATATAACTAAACCAGATCAGGACGCATGCATTTCACCTAGTAGGGGGGCAACTTTTTTTTAGAAGGTGGATATGAAACCATAGAAGAGCCATGAAGGTAGTCCCATAAATATCTGATATCTGTATCATTTATGTTTGAGGCACAACATTATATCAACATACTAGTAGTTAACCATTTAGAATGCTTTATCTTAAACGAGTCGCAAGATTAATGTATTGACAGAGTTAAAGCTAGGGAAGTTCATTGGTTTAATCATACAGATATTAGTGCATCAACAAAAACATATAATAACATCGTCATAAAACAAAAACAGAAATTCCAGATCCTGGTAAGTTCGCCAAATTATCATTTAATTCTCTACCTAACAAGAGAAAGAGAAACAATAGCAAATAAAAGTTTAATTCTTGTAATTACTGATTTTTCCTTCTGCCATAAACTACTGCAAACTTGACTGGTGTGAAACTACAACCCTTCATAATCAGTTTAACCTCTGAAAGACAAGTGAGGCTGCAGCAAAGGCAGCTGCTATGGACAATAACCAAAATATTCGTTATTCTGGAGACATGGACAATATCCAGTCACTACAGACCATATTTTTTCAGATAAGAAAAAATTATAGCAGTTAAAGAGAATAAAACTAAGAAAGGGTGTTACATCTTACACCAAAGTATATCATACCTCGCGGTAGCCTCCAACTAAAGAACAAGTTGCGTGCCTGTTCACCAGTAATTTTCCCATCTCGGTCAGTGTCAACTTGAACAAAAACCTTTCGGTACTTCTGAATATCAGACTGGGTCATTTTTGGCCATGGAGACTGAGATTGTCCAGCTGCCATAGGATATGCTGCAGATTTTTGTGCTGGAACGTGTTGATATGCTTTGCCCGTAAACTGGAACTGCTCTGCTTGAATAGCCGACGGTTGAGAAAGAACATTTGGCTTAACAGTAGGCTGTTCACTTGAGGAAGTCAAATTCCCAGTTGAGACAGCAGTTATGTTAGCCGCAGAATACATAACTGCAGCTGGATTATTATGTGGTTTGGATGGGGCTGCTGAGAACACATCTCCAAACTCTAAGTTCGCGGTAAAGCCATTTCCTGTAGCTGAAGCCAAAGTTGAATTATCCTTCCCAACCTGGGAACTCGACAAAGCTGCATCATTCGGCTTGGATGAAGCAGATTGCACCACCCCAGTAGTTTCAGGTGCCTTAGGTTGAGTAATAGATGTCGCCAGAAGGCCAATGTCACCTTGAGTTGCAGAAGGGATTATGTTTCTGTTTGAAACTTGAGAAAGTAGTCTGGCTTGGGAGCCATCAGTCGTCCCACCAAGTGAATCAAAGGAATTAGGGGGACGAGATGCAACCGCAGAACCTGTACCAGGAATTCCTTGGGCTTGAAAGCCTGGCTGGGATTGAAATCCAGAACTTGGAGGTGGAGGCCGATGCATTCTGGTGATTTGACTTTGCGGAGTCAAAAAACCATGAGAGCCACTTATACCAATTCCTTGAGTGGAGGGGGGATTGCCAGACGACTGAACAGAAGATGGGCCTGCATTTGGAGTTGTTTGTGAACCTATCCGCGGAGGAGGAATTTTGGCTGAAACTGGACCATATAAGGCAGCCTTCACGAGATCTGGAGTCAATTCTTGCTTGCTTTGCGCCACGGTAACAAGTTTAAGACAGTTATAAAATTCAGAACGACCCAGGTAACCAACTTTATTTTGATCGGAATACGTCCATATCTACAAGAAAACCACAAAAGCATACACTTGAAGTGTTAGAAGCAAGGCAGTAAAACTTAATTATGCCTCGGTGAAACGGAGATTGAAACTACAAGAAAACATCCACGCCCAGACAGGTTCAAACAAGATGGAGTATGCTCCAGATCGATGACTAAAGTACACACCTATATGGAGAATGGCACAAAATATCAGTACATGGATAACCATTCAACATGACAGCAACACCAGGATCCAGCACCAGGCAAAATCATGCTGATCTCTATTTCATAAATAACTTTTCAAAACCCTTACTTGCACATTTAGGTCATTTAGAGAAGTTACTTTATCACCACTAGAAAGAAAAAGTGAGCAAAATATTCACCCACTTCCAGACTGATAGAGATAGGTATTTGTCAGCCGATCAGTAAGAGTCTTGTTCTCTCGGCTGCAATACCGGTTCTCCGCTCTAGCACTTTATGCAATGAAACAATTTATATCACCTTTTAGCAGCATATATTCATGAATTTTAGTGGTATCTCTGGTTAATCCATAATATCTCATTCAAAGCAAAATTCTAGTGATAAGCATTCCTTAGCACAATTGCAGATGATAAGATTGATGGACAATGGATCAAAAAAATGGTAAATCTAAATAGTGAAGACTTCATTGCATTGCAGCAAACACCAGACACATATTTGACAACCTGCTCTTAACCAACTTAAAAACCACCCACCCATTACTTTTCACCATCAAATATTAAAAACTAGATTTTCCGTGTATTTAAAACTTTCGGCTGCTTTAGTTTCATGCTTGCAACATTAACCTCAATGAAAAAGTAGAATTCGACAGCACAGCAAGCAAACCAAGAAAAAATAAAGAAAGAAATAAAACCAATTACCCATCAACGTATTTCAATGTTTGTAGTCCACTATTGGATCTACTGCGAAAATCGCACGTCGCAATGAAGTTAGCTACCCTACTAACTAGAAGCAAATAGCATACTTTCACGATCTTCTAGTTGCTTGACTATACAAGATATAGTAAAGTGGCTGCACATAGTTTGACTTGAGACTGAACTAAAAAACTTAAAACAGGAGAAACTAAATTCCACATATCTCCTATTGTAGTACCAATTATAATACACAAGTTGAGATGGGCACTGCAAACATCAAATAGTATGTTCTTAAAGGCAACTAATCAATCTGAATACTTTCCGATATCCCAAAGATGAGTAAGTATATCAAATACCTGAGCCAGGACTTGTCTGGGTAAATTCGAAGCTTGGAGGAAAGCAACGGCCTCATTCCCACTGACTCGGCCATCTCGATCCACATCCGCTCTCTGAAAATAGGCCTCAAATTGATCAATATTCGACGTATTCCCGGCCATTCCCCGAGAATCTCAACCAGAATCGAGAAGATGACAAATCCGATCGATGAATCAATTCACAAATCGAGAGCAATCGAGATGCATTCTACATGGAACATGAATTTAGCGGGATCTAGGTGGAATTCGGGCGTGCGCAGTCAGGGAAGAATTGTTTATCCGGTGCAGAGCACAGGGCTCAACAGCACGGTGCGTCGACTTTCGGAGATGAGATCGTTCCGAATTCAGCCAGAAAATATGGCGTCTCGGCCGCAGCAGGTGTCTGCAAGGCGGCTGATTTCTGGGCGTCGGCAGCGGCGGCGGAGCCGTGGGGAATCTAAGATGGTGGTGGTCGGAGAATCGCGAGGGGGTGTGTGAAAAATGTCGGAGACAATTTTCTCCTAGTTACCAACTTACCATCATACTTGTCATGTAAAAATAGTTTGAAGGAAGACAATATGATACACTCTATAGTCCATACATTGTAATATAGTAGTACCTAGACGTGGCCAGGTGCCGGGTCCGGGCCCGGCCCGGCCCGGCCCGGCCCGCCGGGCCACGTGTCCGGAAATGGTGGA